AAGAGTAAAGATCAAATCTAAAATCCCAATCTATGAAAGGAATCTCAAAATCATCTAGGTCAGTCCCCCAGTTTTACACTCTAGGAAGCTGAGGCACAGAGAGGTTAACTGACTTGTCCAAAGTTACAGGGTATTAAAAGAAGTCTAAGACTTCAACCCAGACCCTTTATACTTTCTGTCATTCAGTGCTGCCTCTGTACTATACGCTTCTTCTTCTTCTTTTTTTTTTTTTACTATACACTTCTTTAAAACTGTTATTCAGAAACTTGTCCTTCTTTAGTCAAATGAAATTGATAGTAATTATAAGCCAAAAAGAGATTCCAGCACGCATAAAAAGAGTGGCGAGCACCAACTGTAGGAATGATTTTACCTTTAGTGTTTACATGTTAACAATAGCATGTGTTGACTGTTGCGTCAAGCCAGAAAGTGTTTCCTTCTTGGAATAGTCCTAGGATATGAGGTGAAGTTCAAAATCCTGGTTTGAAATTTATAAATGTACGTAGTTTGGGAGGATTTGTCAGTTACTAAATTTTCTAAGTTATTAGATATTGAATTATATGTTAACATTGCCTGGTATTTTGTACTTTTTTCAAAAAAAAGTGGCATTTAGGCTGAAGCATTACTGTATGAATTTGCTTGAACCATTTATTAGTCTCATATTAATGGAAGCATAGCTTTAAGTTGAGGCATTGATCTAAAGTCTTGGTTTTTAGATAGGTTGATACATATATATATATATATATATATACACACACACACACACACACACACACACACACACACACACACACACACATATGCATATATACATACACTGCTTTAGGTAACATTTTCCTTTAGTGGACATAAGGACACGTTCTCTTATTTTTGCTGAAATATCTCAGACATAGGCAGGAACAGTGAAGGTACATACTCTTATGAAATTTACAGGATCCATACCGATGCTAGACTCATTTATGTATCATCCATCCTCTGCACAGATGTTTTACTCCCTTATAAAAGCTTGTATCTTCAAACCTGTTTGCTACCTTTCTCTTCCTCTTGCTTCCCCCATTTCCTGAAGAGATGAGATGAAATTATGCTGTTGTTGGCAGAGATTGACTTTTTACTTAGAAAGACATGCTGAGTTATATTCCTCACTTCCATTAATACGTATTGAGCTCATTTTTTTTTTCCACTCCCAGCCTGGAATCACCCAGTTTCTCTCACAGGGGAAAAAAAAAAGTTCTTTTCCCTGCTCTTCATGTAGTGAATCAATCCCTACTTCATCACTCTAGAGCTTGTCTTTAACTTAGTTGCATTAGCTCTTTTTGGCGTCACCCTTTGTTGAAGTTTTACTCTTTTGGGCTGATAATAATAATAATAATATGTTAATAGTAAAAAAGTGTCTTGCATTGACACTTACTCTTTTCATGTACTTACGTCTTATTTTTACCAATAGGAGCATCCTTGTGGCAAGGACATTGTCTTGTGCCTCTTAATGTTTAGGTGAGTGCTGTACAGCTAAAGCTTAATATGTACTTTTAAAATGAAGCCAACACAGATTTCAATGATACATGGAATTTTAATCTTTTGGTTTTAAATCGATTATCTCACTGCCTTTATAAGGAGAGACTTCATTAAAAAAAAAAAGTATGATGCTTCAGGCAAGAGAATATCTTTACAAATAAGTCAGCTTCTTCCTTTCCTTTCTTTTCCAGTAACACCAGAGAGGGTGGAAGAGAAAGAATCCCTTTTCCATAAGAACTTCTATTTCCCTAGTGCAGAGATATATTTTCTATAGTTTGAAGGCTGAAATTTACCAACCCAAATCCATCTATTTTCTTTTTGTTTAGAGGAAGTGAGGTATTTCATTTTGTTTGGTGACCTTGAGGAGGGACAACCAAGAGGAGCTGCAGAATATGTCCTTAGTGGTTATTGGCTGCTGTCCTAATATATTTATAGCCTGTGTAACAACTGGATCACTAGACCCAAAGAGGGTAGGCATTTAACCTCTCCCAATCAGGCTTCCTACCTTTTAGATCATATAGATTAGTTTTACCACTGTGGTGGGGAAGAAGAGAAGGGCTGCCTTCCTAAAAGGAAAGTCAGACTCTATTTCATACCTCCCTGGAGCTCCGAGGAAAACCATTTAAAGCTTAGATTTTCAGCATTTCTGGGGTCTCCCTGAAAGGTACTTAACTTGTACTATAGATAAGTATTCAGCAGCTGTTTATTTCCTCCCCACAAAAGAAATCCTCAAATACAAAAAAACTCAATGTGCGTTGACAAAAACTTTAAAATGATATAGTAATCAATGGCTCCTTACTATATTTTCTGGAGTGAGTGATACTTAAGATGTTCACCTTTACTTTGTCCCTTCACTGTCCACACAAGTCTGCTGGCAATCCAGGTCAGGGCTTGGGCTCTTCCTCCTGTCAGTGTTCATAGAATAGAAGTGGTGCGAGGAGATGTGTAACCTGCACCAAGAAGGGATCTAAAGAACTCCGCACATGTTGAGCTCACAAGGTTGCCTCCCAAGCTGGAAACATCCATATTGAGATCACTGTTTATTATCATCGTCATTGTGATAATAACAACAATAATAATAGCTGGCATTTATGTAATGCTTTAAGGTTTACAAAACACTACACAACTCTCACAACAACCCTGTGTGAGGTAAGTACTAAACCAAAGTCAAAAAGCTTGTAAGTGTCTGAGGCAGGATTTGAACTCAAGTCTTCCCAACACTAAGGCCCGTGCTTTTACTCACTTTGCCATCTAAATGCTTCTCTGTATAGTCACGCTTAGGGAAAGAAACAAAGCGGAAGAGGCTGTCACCTTGAGATCTCTACTCTGAATCACCTAGATATGCACATGCTGTAGTTACCCTGTTGAGCAGTCACCATAGGTTTTGGGGAGCTGGGGAGCAATAAGGTATCCCTCCATACCTGCACAGGAGGTCCAGAAGAAAACCTCGTGAAGCTCCTACATGATCAGTAGACTAGGAGAGAGAACACTAGAGGCTAGAGTTGTTGTGGAGCAAGGAAATGACTTGGCGTGAGCTGTAGATTAATTTGGAAGTAATAAATTGGTAGAGTAAGCAAAGGGTTACTAGCCACATAGGGTTTACTTAAATTATAGGAGTGGGTAGAGCACAGACCCCGGAGTCAGAAGGAACTGAGTTCGAATTTGGCCTTAGACACTTACTATCTGTGTGACCCTGGGTAAGTCACTTAACCCTAATAGCCTCCCTCCCTCAAAAGAAAGAAATGCATGTGTGTGTGTGTGTGTGTATGTATACATATATATGTATGTGTGTGTGTGTATGTATACATATATATATGTATGTGTGACATACTAACCATATATAGTAGACTGTAAATTCTCTGAGGGTAGGAACTATATCTTTCCTCAAAGTTGTATGATCCTTAGCCCTTAAGGAAGTATTTAGGTACAGATGTCCTGAAGATAGGAATCCCAAGCTTGATAGGTAGGTCAACTTAAAATTGCATGGAGATAGTAATGGGAAACATCCTAAGAGAAAAGTCTTGCATGAGGAAAAATCTTGGAGTTAGGAAAACTAGAGAATGAGAAAAAAAAAGTGCCTTGTTTAGCCAAAGCAGAGTATTTTTAGGGAAATTTTGGGAACAACTCAGTGGAGATCTTGTGGAAGACCTTAAATTCCAATCAGAGGAGTTTGGGCCTAACTTGATGGACTATGACTTGTCATGAGCTGTAGATTTATTTGGAAGAGTTAGAGAGGGTTTACTAGCCATATAGGGTCTACTTAAATCATAGCTAGCGTCTTCCTGTCTTGGTAGAGAACCAGGTGAAGGAGTACGTTGAAAAGAATGAAACAATAAAAGGAACATGAATGGAGGGGGGGAACTTTTAAGGTATTCTTCAGTCTAGTTTATTGTCCTAGAATCTGTGCTTTTTGGGTAGTTTTTCTGTTATTCTCTATATTTGTTTCAGGAAGAAACTAAGAACCAAAGTGCAGCAAATGCTGGCTACAGAGACCCCAAATGTTTTCTCCTTTTATTCTAATCTCAATCATTGCCATATTCAGTGTCCATTTGAGATACATGAGTAGCTGTGTGGACTGTCCTCCAGCTGCACGTCATTGGTATCATTTCTCTTCAGTAGGCTTGTATACATCTTTCTTCACATAGAGTAAAATGTCCCAGTGAATGTTCAATAAAAAATTATAAAAATAGCAATTTGCAGAAGAATGACTCAGCATGTGAAACAGGGACAAATATTCTATTGTTAAAAATCACTCCGTCAAAAAGTGTTTTTGAGTGCCTAATAAGTATCCAGAACTGTGCTTATTTAAAAATACTTGTTAAAATCATTATGAAAAAGAGGTAGCTTTGTAGATATATATTTGTGATTTTAGGTGCTTGGTTGTTATGTGTGTGTATGTATACACATACATCTATCTATACACATACACATATATAATACACACACACACACACACACACATATATTCACATTTTTAAAGTTGTGAGCATTTATATTATTTAATTAAATTAACAGGCATATTGTTTTAATTTTTTGTGGTATTTTGCTTTTCTAACGTAGAACCCGTAATTATAATTCAATTTAATTGTATTTCATTATGGGTGAACATTGACAAACCAGTTGGTAGTGATCATTTAATTAATCCTGAATTTTTTATTTAAGTAGCTCTCCTGTTTGGGGATATCCCAAGCAGCACGAAAACTAGAGCTGTGGAGGGACTTTGGGATCTCTAGTAGCGTCCGTAGCATATTTGTGAGCCGAATTTGGTTTTAGGAAAATACTACTGTTCCTTATCAGTGGGCAGACCTAACTCTGTGGGAAATTATGCATAACACAATCCCTTTGTGGAATGGCATGATTTCTTTTCTGTATGTGCTAAGGCTTCTTAGATGCCAGGATGACTCTCAGAAGCTCTGTAATCAAGATCTTTTTTTCTTTAAATAGCAAAAAAAGAATAATCTACAAACATTTCTGTTTTCTTGCTATTTTAGGAGATATTACCCAGAAAGGATATGAGAAGAAAAGGTCAAAACTTCTTTCTCCTTACATCCCACAGATACAAGGTAGGCATTACTCTTGTGAAAAAGGCTTTGATTTTTTTTGTTATTGTTGTTTTAATACAAAAAAAGAATAATCCCTTATCTTAATTTGTTCTCATTCTCATTTGCTCCCTGCCAAACATTTATGGAGCAACACTGAGTTAAAATGATGTTAAGCAGGAACTCACAGACTCAGACACACATACATATGTGTGTATGTATCTGTGTCTATATGTATGTGTGTATAATAGAGAACCGAGCCATCAAAAGGACTTGGGGAGAGGAGGATCCTAATCACAAAAGAAAAAAAAATAGGATTTTGCATACTTACCTTCATTTATATTTTCTAAAACAGAAGGATTGGCAAATCATAAATGCACAAAAAGGTTTTTATATTATTTATTTTTCTAATAGGGAACCTATAAAGGGACTCAACCATTCAATTCAATTAATCAGATATTTATTAGGTACTGGATGGTAGGCCCTGGGGATTCTCAGTAAGTGTCATTTCACCATAGACGAGAGTTGCTTGAAGCTCAAAAACAGTTGAGTGACTTTACCCAGGTCTCACAGCAAGTAAGATGTGGGACTTACTGTCCTTAGGGAGCTTGCATTCTGCCTTTGCTGTCTCCAAATGAGATTAGCTTCAGATATATTCTAAAAATTATCCAACAAGAGATAGTCCCATGATTTTCCTTAATAAATCTTTTTTCAGTGGTAATTAGATTTGCCATAAGGAATTTCTTGCTCTATTTTTGTAATTAAAACCCTTGTCTGTCCTCAGTAGACGTGGAGAGAATAGTCAGCTCATTTCCTCCAGGGTGTTCTTCTACATTTAGATCTTTCCTCAGTTATTTTCTACCTAAAACCAAAACATCCACTGAAGTAAAAACTAATTCGTATGATTTTTTTTTACCTTTGCAACGAAACTCTTCCTTTTGTAAGGTTAGAACAAATACATGATCAAAAGTTTCCTTTAAGATCATTTACCATCTGAAGAAAAATATAGACAAATGGCATATGATTTGATAATTAAGTGCTGACCATCATGTGCTTTGGGCAGTTAGGTGCCACAGTGGATAGAGTGCTGGGCCTGAAGTCAGGAAGACTAATCTTCCTGAATTCAAATCCCTCCTGAAACACTTTCTAGCTGTGTGACCCTGGGCAAGTCATTTAACCCTGTTTGCCTGTTTCCTCATCTGTAAAATGAAATGTATCCAGTATCTTTGCCAAGAAAACCTCAGACAGAGTCACAGGCAGTCAGACACAACTGAAACAACTTAACAACACCATCGTATGCTTAGTCACTTGTTTGCTGTCTTAGGCTAGTGATAGTGGAAAGAACCCTGAAGGCCTTGGATCACATCTGGCTTTTAGTCAACACATTCAGTCACGTAAATAAGAAGATCAGAATTTCCTTTCCAACATGACCAATAAATGTTGTCTAGCCTTAGCTTTCCTTTAGTAAAGGTTCCTCCCAGGACAGCCCATTCCACATGTTAAAAAATACTTTTTAATATCATTTGTTTTTCACATTATCTGCATTTCCTTTTGTTATCCTTTTCTCCCAGAGAGCCATTTCTTACAGCAAATGGGAACAGGAACCAGTTCAACAAAACTAGCCACTTTTCACACCCACATCTTTAAGCTCTGCAGAAGAGGGGTAGATGCCTTTTCTGAGCTCTCTTTTGGGAGGAAATTTGGTCATTACATTTCCATGGCATACAGGTTCAGTTATTTTGCTGCTGTTTCTCTTTCTGTTGTCATGGTCAGTGGCTATATTGTTATTCTAGTTTTGTTTCACTTTGCATCAATTCATCTTAAGTCTTCTCTAGCTTAAGAGTCCCTAAATTTTAGTGACTTGCTCAAGGTCACATGGATAATTAAATGGCAGAGTCTGGATTAAAACTTAGCTCTTCTGACTCCAAATCCACTGTTTTTATGACTGTATCATGATGCTGCTTTAGAGTAGCTATAATTATTAAGAAATTTTCCCATCCATTTTACCTAAATCCTCCTCTACTGTTTGTCCCATTGCTCTCCCTCTGGAGCCAAGGACAATTCTAATCCTTCTTCAAATGTAACAGTCATTCAAGTATTTGAAGTCATTTCATATCCCTTGCCAAGTCTTCTGTTCTGCAGAGTACCACTCTCACTACTCTATTCTTCCCTCCTCATATGATAGGATCTTAAGACCCTTCCTTCCTGGTTGCCCTTTTCTAGACTCTTTCCCACTTATCAATATCCTTCCTAAAATGTGGCATCCCAGACTGTCACTGTATTCTGTATGTTGTCTGAATGGAGCAGGACACTGCTTCTCTTAATAGAGCCTTAAAATAAACATTAACTTTTTTGGTTACTATGCAGTCTTGAGTCACCTTGACTTTGCTTTCCCCAAGATCAAAGAGGTACAATTTGTATTCTGTTATATGCATGTTATTTAATTTGTCTTAACACTCCAACCATTCAGGATCTTTTTTTGAACTGCAATCCATTGTGTTAATGATCGTTCCTAGCCTTTTCTCATGTGCGGATTTGATAAGAAAGCAATTAATGCTTTTATCCAAGTCCACATCATTGAGAAAAATGTTAAAAAGTAATAATAGACAGACTATTAGAAAGAATACTCCAAATTACCGATAATAAGGGAAATTAATAACTGAGTTTCAAATTAGGACATTAACCCTCCATGTATTCTGTGGTGCCTCCGAAATCCTCTGCCAGATTTCCTAGAAAGCTTAGCATTTCAGCAGTTCTGTTCACTAGTTCTTTTAGTACCTGCTAATCTGGACAAGGTGATTTAAACTCATCGAAGACAACTTGGTGCTCCCTTTTACTAGTTCCTTGCTTTTCTTGGGTATTGACTTCCCTAAAATCCATGTGTGTTTTGTCCTTTGCAGTCCAAATATCATTGCCCTGGGCAAAGGATATGGAAACAATATACAAATTCAGCACCTATGCCTTTTTCTTTGTAGTTAGCTATCATTACTATTTAACCTTGTCAGTGGTCTTATCCCTTCTTTTTATTTGTTCTGTCTTTCCCCAGTATAGCTTTTAAAAATCCTTTTTATTATCATTATTCCTGCTTAAATTCAGTTCTTTCTGAGCTTGAGCATTACTGATACTGTTATGGTACTGTACTGTGGTTTTGTGTTCATCCTCTGCTCATTCTTCCATCTTCGATATATGTCATTTTAAAATGTGAGTTGTTAGATGTTTTACCTTTGTATCCATAGCAATCTCTTCAGACAGCATCATTTCTCTACCAGGTTTATTTGCGTATCTTCAGAACCTTATTTTTGGGAGTTTATCAGAACTAATGTCTACCCTGACCTTGTCCCTCCCCCAAAAAATTGTCTTATTGTGCTTTCTGAGCTCTTTACCTTTCTGTCAGGATGTGGGTAGTATATTTCACCATTAGTCTTCTGGAATCTTGGTTGGTCATCACACTGATAAGCGTTCAGCATCCTCATAATCCTCATCATAATTCATCACATTTACACACCATAAAAGATTGAGAAGAAAGAAAGGATGCTGGATTTAAGAAGTCGTTGTTCAGTTGTTCAGTTATGTCTGACTCTTTGTGACACTATGGTCTGTAGCACACCAGACCCTTTTGTTCTCTGCAATCTCCAGAAGTCTGCCCAAGCTCATGTTCGTTGCTTCTGTGACACTATCTATCCATCTCATCTTCTGCCATCTCTTTTTCCTTTTGCCTTCAGTCTTTCCCAACTACTTCCCAGAGTCAGAGTACCCTGAGATTTTGTTCGCTCATCTTACTAGCTGTGCAACCTTGGACAAATAATTTCACTTCTCTGGGCCTGTTTCCTCTTCTCTAAAATGAGGGCATTGAACTAGATGACTTCTAAGGCCCCTTCAACCTCTAGATTTATGATCTCATGATATCCTAACTCTTAATCTGTGATTTAATTGAAACCTTCCAAAACATAAAACTAATTTTCAGTCTATATCAAACACATATTTTACACTTCCTTGTCAGAAGAAGGCAATAGTGACTTCCAAAATTATTTTATTTCTCTGTTATTAAGCTCCATAATCATAAGAAAAAGAAAGCTATATTTAATAGTACAGCTTCATTTCTTTTAGGGAAGAGAGAAAGACTAAATCTAGTACTTACATCCTTCGTCTTCCAGTTCTCATTTAGGCATAATTGTTGACACCTAGTGGATATAGTGGATACATAGGAAAACAGAAAATATTGAAAGATTAGAAACTCCCAAGTTGCTTTTTCTGCTTTTTATAATTATATAAGATGTTTACTTAGGTACACTTCAGTGTTTCTGATAACTAGAGTTTGTGATCTCTCAGGGAGAAATAGACAAGAATAGTTTTGATAGAGTATCCTCTCTCAGTTTACCCTAAGCCATTTTCATTAAAGCCTTCTCTTCTTCCTTTAAACATATTTTTATCTCATATATTGAAAAGGCTTCTTCTCAGAAACTCAGATAACAAAAAATTGTTACGTCAAATCTCTTCAATATAGAGAACTAACATAAATCTAGTAAAAAGCTGTTCTATAGTGAATTAAGTGGCCAAAAGATATAAACAATTGTCAAAAAATTGTGAACTGTTAACCATATGAAAGATTTCTCCTTAATTTAATAACAAAAAATACTAATCAAAAACAACTTTGAACTTTCACTTTGTATCCAACAAATTGACAAAGATGACAGAAGTCATTGTTGGAAGTATTTTGGAATGATGGCATACTAATGCACCATTATTTGTGGAACTATAAATTGGTACAGTCATTCTGAAAAACAATTTGGAATTAGGCTAAAAAAGCTAACAGAATACCTGTACTCATTGGCATATCCTGAAGAAGTCAGTCAAAGAAGTCCCATATGTAACAAAATATTTATTCCATGACTTTTTGTGGTAGCCAAGACTTGGAAACAAACTATATCACCATATATTGGGGAATAACTAAATAAGTTGTACCACATGAATGTAATAGTATTTTTATATTGTAAAAAACATTGAATATGAAAAAAACAAAAGAT